CTCTCACATACACAGGGTTTCGCCGGCTTAGTGTTTCTGATGACGGCCTGAAAAGACAAATATTGAGTTGAAACATTGTGTTGAAAAGCTGCTGCTGAAAATAAGGAAAGGTGTTTTTTTTAAAAACAAAAAATGTTTAAAAAAATGTATTTAAACCAAAACTTTTTCAAATAACAAATGTAGCATTTTCTCCTGAAAAATGTTGCGTGCATAGCGTTGTTTATACGAAAACAATATATTGTTCTGCAAACTCAACACGTCCTGTACCACCGTATCCTTACGTGGATCCAGGGAAACCCCTGATATGGTCAAGTGTACACACACACACACACACACACACACACACACACACACACACACACGCGTACAAACACAGCACACACAGTAACCACCCTCCTAATGAATCACCTGGAGTGGAAAAACCAACAGTGGAAAATTTCCTGAGGCCCAAATTAAACTCTTGGTCCAACACAGTGAGCCATCGATACACTCCGCAAGCTGCATACAAAACCATTCATCACTCTACATGCAAGCACACACACACACACACACACACACACACACACACACACACAGAGTGTGTGTTCCCCAGCTGAGATTATTTTTTAGAATACAGCAGAAAAGTGAAGAGCGGTGAAACAAAGCACAACTAATAACATTAATGATGGCTACATTTCATGTACTCGCACCGGTGCCAGAGTTCTGGTACTATGCATGCTGGCACATCTAACAGAGCCATCATTAAGGTTAGTAGTTACACCTGTGCTTTGAAAACTCTAAATGGCTGCAGTTACAAAGGTCTAGTGAGGAGTGTTAATTGAGAAACTGGAATGCCTTTAATAGGGTGGTTTTAACATTCGTACAAAATGGAGGACTTACACCAAACTGTGATGTTGTATTACTGTAAATTTTGATTATAACTTACATAATCCAAAGCGTCTTAAGCTGAATCAAGTCAAAGTGTAAACTGGCAACTGTTGATTTCACCGGCAGCTATGATATAATATATGACGACTGTTGGAGGTAAATTTACTCAGCTATAGCTAATTCATGTTTCTTATGTGAGTTGGTAAATAACACAAGTAGTTCTTGGTTTTTGTCTGGTTCCTTGTGCGTGAAAGACATTTTGCTTGTTGTGACACTAACATGGTGACAAAATCTGTCTTCAACAGAAGGAAGTATGACCACCTGGCAAAGTACTGAAAACTGCTTCTGAGGTAGATTCTGCTACAGTAGGTGTCTCCAGGACCACATTTTGCCATGATGACACGCACACGCACACAGGGTGAAAACAATAGCCTCCACACACTGTCACGGCTGGAGGAAGTAGGGGTTTGAGAGGTGCACCTCAACTCAATCTCTGAGATTCACTGTCTAAGCGAGGAGGCACTTAGCAGCTACAGTCACCACAGCAACCTTTGATTGCTGCTGGATGAGACGCAGCTGATTGAGATGAGCTAATTAGAGCAGTCTGACACACACACACACACACACAAGCACTCAGGACACACTCGCACTTTTCAGGCTTTTCTCTTTATTTATACTGACAGCGGAGAAAGTCCATTCAAACCTTACCATCACGTCTTTCATACATTATTGTTATTCTTTAACTTTTAAATCGGACGTATTCCTCAGTTGCACAGGTTTGAGTCTCACGGAGCGTTAATTTACGAATCAAGTATATTTTTCTTTTCTCCTTAGCTGCTCGACGCTTTGAAATTCGGACAGAACGGGTATAGACAGTCCCTTCAGTGATGCATCATATACGTTATTTTCACAATAGCTTATTTTGACGTGTCATAGCAGGGTAAACACAGATATCATTGATAAAATGAATCATGGTCCCATTATATTGAGTGTGTCACAGTGAGCCAACATGCACAATGCCCTGGCCCACGTAAAGACAACAGGGCCATAATTAATGTTAACAGTCACACCTGTGTTACCCTGCAATGACATATCACAATGGCTGCTGTGAAAAGGGCCCATTACACCAGTTTTAGCTTCCATTTATTGGCTACCTATCTATGTTAAATCACACTTTACAACATTGAATGAATGGACACACCCGTTCCTACCAGCCTGAGCTCCTTTAACCTTATACTCCAATCAGGACAAAATGTCTAGTTTTATTTGTGGTTTGTAATTATGCTTGGCACAATCATATCTCTTTGTAACCGCAGATACAGGCCTGTAATTTAATGTATAGAAAATATTCAGTCTGTAAAATCACAAGTAAATATTTTCGTGGAATTGTCCATCTGTATGTTCTCCTCATAAACTGTAGGGCTATACCTGAGTCAGCACTTCAGACTGATGCATCAACATTTTTCAAAGGAACACAGTGACTCCACTGAAAAGGGTGAGCCGACACAAAGGGCCTCTCCCCTACTAAACTCCATTGTAGCATCACTCGAGACATTTAAATGTAATGATGCATGCACTTATCTACAGGAAGAAGACAATTAATCATACCAATTACAAAGTAAAATATTAAATA